AAAAAAAAAAAAAAAAGCAAATCAAGGAGAATAACAGTCATATTAGAGCACGATTGGTTTCCAATTATGCAACACAAACAATCTTTTGCATGAAAAATTATAACAATGGCTTCATTTACCAATAACTTTTTGATTTAAGCATTTCTTCAAATGGCTTCAAACATTTCGATTTAGTTATACTAATAATAATCTTTTGCATGAAAAATTTACCATAATGTAGCAGAAACTGAGCAATCATGTAATATTTGATATCAATAACAACCTTAGGGTAATTTGGAGGAATAACAATATCAACCAAGCAGAAAAAGTTGATATCAATAAAACTCACCTTGGCTTGTCTCCCCTGTTTCACCATTGCGGTCGTCAAACTCGTTGAAAATCTCTTGTCCACCCGATATTACATGCCCTTGAACTACAGCTTCTCTATTTCCTTCTCCACCATTGGCTTGCTGGCTAACTATCTCTTCCACAGATGACTCGGACCTCGCTTCGTCATCATCTTCGAAAAACTGATTTAAATCGAGCTCGATAACGTGGTATCCAATTTCCGGGCTTTCGTCAGCATTTAGCTCGACTATAATGTTTTGTGAAGATCTCGAGACAACATCTTCTACGTCATAAGGAGGTTTGTTAAATCGATCGGAATGTTTGAAGTCATTGCAAATTTTTATTGGTATAATCAAGTTATCCATATTTATAGTCATTTGTAGGTGCTGCTCACAAAATTTGAAATGTTGAAGGTGAATTTTGAGTTTGCCTCCTTATCAAAAATTTGGCTCCAAATATGTAAGTTACAGATTTTTGCTCTGTATTTGTAAACTCAAAGTTTGAAAAGAACAAAATGTGGAAGACGATGGGTTTTTCCACCCATATAAGCCCAGCACACTTTTTCTTTTTACTGTTTTAATGGCCATTAATTAATGTTCACTTTTTATTGAATAAGGGTAATATAGGCAACAAAAAAATTTCTTAATACTTGTGCTAATGTCCAACAAATATATTGAACATGAGGGAGTGTCAACTATAATTATTACACATCACATCAACTTTAATTCACTATTCATCCACTCACGTAATTTTAACTAACCATCATTTCCAATCATTTTTTCCTACTTTTACATCAAATCAACTTTAATTATTTTATTTTAAATATTATTTTAATATATCCACTACAACTAACCATACTACTTTTTTTCAAACTTAATTATAGTTAAAAAAAACTAATTTTTTACTAGTTGAATTCACATCCAATCACCCCCTTAGTGTTTGTGGAGTCCCCTATAAAATCATATCAATCATTTTGGCTTTTATATTAAAAATTGCTTAAATTCTTGTATCTCTGAAAAACCAAATAGCCTTCATTCCTGGCAAGCATGTGACGGATAATGTGGTTATTTGTTTAAGAAGCAATTGATTTTCTAACTAGATATAGGACATGGAATCAATACTTCATGGCCCAAACCTATGGCAATCGTGGCTTCGCGACTAGGAAGTTCAAGTAATAGGGCTTGTATTGGTGAGTAAAGGCCTTGCTCTCTTCTTGATATGGCTAAAGCATTTGATAAAATTGAATGGACTAACATTAATAACTGAAATCAAGTAAATCTCCAATTAATTCAATATGTTTAGGTACATATGCAATTAAACTTATAGTAGGTGTAAAATCGTAAATAAATCAAAATCTTCTGGGATAGATGAAAATTTCCCCTTAAGAGGAATTTAACACCCTTTACCATAAGCTATGACTTTTATTACAAGAATTACAGTTGCGCAAATAAAGAAATTAAATAGGTAAGTTATTTAACAGTTGCGCGAATTAAGGAATTAAATGAGTAAGTTATTTATTTTCATTTCTCTCTTGTGAGTCAA